TGAAAAGGATGGTTTAAAATAACGATGATTTAAAGCAATTTGAAATGTTTCAAACGAAAATAAATGATTAAAATAGATTATTTAAAAATATGTCCGAAAATAATAAACGGAATCGAAGTATACGAAATATCAGAAATAAAATTATTGCAGTGTAGTAACTAGACAGGAATTTTTCAGTCCATTAAGTCGTACACATTTCTATTCAGCACTATAAATTTGAACAAAAAAAAAAAAACCAAAACTGAATCGAAAAACTGAGCAGAAAATGTGACGATGAAACAATAGCTCATCAATTTATGGTGAGCACTTACCATGTCTTTTGGCTGCATTGAGAACATCTCTTCATCGCTCGAGCCATAATTGGCCAGAGCTGATTTTGAGGACTTTTTCATCGTAGGCGATAGGGGACGCATCGAAGATCTGAATTTTTTATCGTTGCTTGTTACGGTGATCGAAATTGACGAGACCGTACCGCGATCGATCACTTCGGTGACCTCACGTTTCGAGACCGATGATGTACTACTGTGCAACACACCGCTACGTTTCTCCAACAGCTTCTGACGTAACCGTGCCTCTTCATCTTCTAAAAATAGCCCAAAAAAAAAAAAAAATTCCGAGATGCTATCATAATGCTTAAAAAGATGAAAAAACCGTGAGAAAGACAACGGAGCTAAAAGAGTAGGGTAAATGAAGAGGTAAGATGTTTCGGTCCATTAATTTGTGAACGCCTTAGCTCAGAATCCTGTAAGCAATGTGCATAAAATGAAGGGAAAGACCACAAAAACAAGAAGTGAAAAGAGATAGTGGAAAGCATATGCTGTGAAAAAATGTTCAGTAGGTGTAATGAGGACCTGTGTGAAGGCTGAATGTAAACTTGGCTGTCTGTGTGTTTCATCCCTAAACTGCAAACACAGACACAGTATTCGGTGTGGATTGGGGTGGGAAATTTGGTCAGTGCAGCCCTCAATCCACCATCTCTGGAAAAGTTGATGACATATAAGTATTCGCTCTCCGAAAGAAAATAGTACACAGGAAAAAAAATGGAAGGAGTATGTTTTCCGAACAGTTTTTGTAGCAGATCCTGTATATTTTGTTGCTAAGTTACTGTTAAGAGGTAATTTCTTTGCCTTTATATTTTGAGACGAATGGACTTTGTAACCCATTTTCAACTCAGCAATCTTGGAAGTCGAGAATTTAAAATTACAGGATAACATTCCCACCCCCATAAGCCACCCTTCCGCATCAAAATCAGCATTCACATGTATCCAAATCTCACAATATGGGCACCAGAAAAACGATTTCGGAAATCAATAAGCGTAGGAACCCTGGGGGGCGGGGCGCATTCACTGTACATGTGTGAGCTAAAGATTTCAAATTCAGCCACTGCGTACACTTGTATGAAGTACATGGTCACATCAGCTGCCAGTTGGCATCGTGCCAACTGGAGAACTCGCCAGAAAATAATAGTTGTAACTGTGTCAGCATATTTATAATCCATGTTGGGACTCGTATACCTAAATAGAGTTTCGAATTGCACTTGCACCACACATGCCAGCACGTCAAAGATAGATTGTGGCAAAGTAACGAAGCTGTTCAATTAAAGCAACTGGAAAAGCTATTAGTTGCACAGCTACGTAACTGACCA